CATTAAAAACAAAATTGTCCCAAGCACACCACCCTGTGGAACTCCACTCTTTACCTCACAATATCTTGACATACCATCATTCACTCTCACACGAAATGTTCTTCCATTCAAATAATTATAAACCCAAGCAACCAATTTGTCATTCAACCCACATTTGTTCAACTTAACCATTAATTTACTATGTGACGCTCTATCAAATGCCTTTTCAAAACCAGTATATACTGCATTAATCCCTTAACCTTCATCAACAGCCCTAGACCATTCATCCATCAATTTTAACAACTGCAGAACAGCTGATTTTCCCTTGACAAACCCAAACTGTTTTGTATTCAGCAAACCACTTTCAATCAAATGTGACATCAAAGCATCCTTTATTATAGACTCCATCAATTTACATGTTATGCATGTCAGTGCAACAGGTCTATAATTTTTAGCTTCCTTTTTATCTCCTTTTTTAAAAATGGCTGTAACAATACTTTCTTTCCATACATTAGGTATGACTCCCCATTCAAAAGACCTATTAAATAATGAACTTAAGTAATCACAAATAGATTTTTTACATTCAAACAATATCTTTGCACTAATGTTATCAGGTCCAGACGATTTACATACATTCAACAATTTCAGTTTATTGAAAACAACCTGTGGTTCAAAATCAATCACATTCATTAAATTAATTGTTTCTTCACACAAAACAGTTTCCTGTGTGCAATCATTATCCCCCTTACTAGTGCTATAAACAGTGGTAAAAAAATCAGCCAAAACATTTGCTTTTTCACGTTCATTTATTACAACAATCTTATTTCCATCGTTATCAACCCCATACAAACTATCTATAGAAAACCTATCCTTTCTAGTATTATTTACCTGTTTCCAAAATATCTTAGGATTAATTTTAACCAATTTACCCAAACTATTTAAATAATTAATCTTTATTAATTCGATGTTTTTTTAACTTTGTTTCTCACCTTCTTAAAATCATCAAATATCTTATTATCCCTGTACTTAATGAACTTTTTCCATAATAAATTTTTTTCTCTTATTGAATTTAAAACAAAATTTGGTAGTTTAAAGAAATTATTTTTTTCATTTATATACTTTACTGGTACAAATTTTATTTATATACTTTACTGGTACAAATACTTTATATACTTTCATTTATATACTTTACTGGTACAAATTTTTAAAATGAAAGTTGTTGCATGGCACGTTTGGCAGCATCCATATATATATATATATATATATATATATATATACATATATACATATATACATATATACATATATATACATACATACATATACATACATATATATATAAAGATCACTGCGTTTTCGGCATTCTCAATTTTTCTAACGATAATTTTATTATCTTGATGAAGTTTATTAAGGTTAAATAAAAAACTTTTAATATTTGACATTTTTGACAAAACATTAATAACGTTATTACTACAGAAAAGCTCTTTTCGGCATCAACTACCATCATCAGTGTAGTTATATAGTATTGTTCCGTCTTTGTGTCTTTGTTTTTATAGCGAATTTGATTGTAACTTAATTACAATTAACTTACTCATTCACATGTATAATTTGTGAGTGCGTGCATCAAAATTCTGAATACATCAGAATGACTACAACAACATTAACGAGAAGACTCATTATGCATAAGCAACATGGAGCAATAAAAGACCACCCAATGAAAAAACATAACACTATTATAAAAAGGGAAATTTTAGACAATAACACCAAAGCAATTTATTAAAACAGAGAATATTTCAAATTAAAGATAGCAGAATCAATTTTCATCGATAAACGTAAACCAGCAATAAATATTCAACTAAATGATACCAATATTCTTCCGACAAATATTCTTCCGACAAAGAAACACATGATTAACTTTAATTCTAATTAAGTTACAATCAAAGTCGCTGTAAAAACAAAGACACAAAGACGGAACAATACTATATAACTACACTGATGATTGCAGTTGATGCCGAAAAGAGCTTTTTAGTAGTAATAACGTTATTAATAATTTTTTTCAAAAATGTCAAATATTAAAAGTTTTTTATTTAACCTAAATAAACTTCATCAAGATAATAAAAGCCTCGTTAGAAAAATTGAGAAACTGAACTACAAGTTGAATAATGCCGAAAACGCAGTGATCTTTATAAATAATTGTATTTATGATAGTCTACACCCAATATATATATATATATATATATATATATATATATATATATATATATATTAGATAATAATTATACATATATATATATATAATATTATTTTTCTATTTACTAGTATAAGCCTGAGATTAAAAATTCATTTAGAACTTGAAGAAACAAACTTTCGACACTTTCCGGAGCCAGAGTTGGATGCAAAAAATTAACGACTTCCGTCTCTCAAAAATTTCAATTTCGGCAAAATCCTTTAACAGGCTCCGGTACCCTGATTGCCGATAATTGATAATTTACTTTTTTATTTTTAAAAATTCTACAGATTAAAGTTAGTTACAACTTTTATGTCTCTGATGCAACTTATGAACCACGCGTTAAATTTTTACCTCTACTGCGCTACCGGTAAGAAATTTTGTAAAGAGTTGAAAGCGATGCTGCTGCAATTGAAGGTGTGGACGTCTTCAGCTGCGTATCATGTGGTTTGTCGCTTATTTCCTTGCCGCCGGACTTGTTCTTCAAGGATGAAAGAAGAAACATGCAGCGGACTCAATGGAAATGTGGTGAAAAGTGATGAAGACGCTAATAAGAACAAGGCTGCATACAGAAGATATTTAACAGTTGAAAAAAATTTAGAAAATAAAAAAAACAAGGCTGATTGTGAGTTTGTTCAGCAACTTTGTGTTGTTGATGTGGCTTATTAAAGTGATAAATGTATTCATAACATCGACGTAATGCTAACACAATAATTCTTCATAGAAAGAAATTTTGTAGTGGGAAGCAAGTTTTAAATTTTTACTAATAGGTAACAACGTGACGAAATTACTGCTAATTTATCGAAATTATTTTTACAACAACTTAACTTCAAGCATAACAATGAATTTTGTTGTTGTAGAAAACTAGAAATATTTTAATGATTATTTTGTTGAAAAATCAATTTTTCAATATTATTTAAACTTTTAAAACGTACATTTGTTGCTTCATTGTGACGACCTGCGTCAATAACTCACGTGACACATCTCTGATTACATTATATACTGTTTTGGAGTAGAATTGAAAGGACTGCTTGATGGTAACTGGTGAGGAATATTTATTCCATTGCAGTCTTTTTGATCATATTTTTTGAGTTGTTACAAGATTTATAATTTTGTTCCTTCTCAGTGGTTTTGACACCAATTGCTGTATGAAGTTGTCGTTCAAGGTCGAGTAAATATTTGTCTTAGGGTTTTTCGCCCGGTACTGTAAAACTGTAAAATTCCATCACTGTGTGCCAACCTGAATAATTCAAACAGTCCCTTACTTTCTTCCATCCCAGAACTCAATACTTTGAGGATGAAGCAAGTGCATATGTGCCAACATTTGGATTTTTAAAACCGAGACGTTAATAGCATTCTATACAATTTTATTAGAAAATCACAGATTCATTTAAAAATTTAAAAAATAATGATTTTCGTCTACTTATTAACATTAATTTTCAGCATTTAACAAATAATTAATATTTTCCGCGATTTGCAGCTAAAATGCTTATTTAACATTCCAATTTCAAACTGAATCGGTGTGCAGTCGGCATTTTTTCTTTGTTGTTTCATTACAATCGTAATCATCGTCGATACCGCATTTAAACTAATTAAAATGTCGGCAAACGAAAGTTTTCTTTTATGTGTTTTGTAAAATCATAATCGTCAGCGATATCGCAACGAAATAAAATTCAATAAGTAATCGACGATGGTTTTCAAGGCTTGCAAATTAACATCAACAAAGCAGAGTGCATGGTTATCAGTAAAAGCAAAACCGCCCCGACCTGCTCCAAAGTCATTAATAGTAAAAAGGTGAAACATGTCAACAGCTTCAATTATCTCGGAAGTCTGATTACCTCAGGTTGTAAATGTGATATGGATACCAAAAGAAGGATAACTATGGCGAAGGATGCTTATTCTAAAATGAAAAACATCCTCACCAACATTAAAATCAGATTATTAACAAAATTAAAACTGATAGGGTGTTACATTTTTCCTTTGCTAGCCTACGGTTTTGAGTCCTGGACAATTTCTAAAGAAATGGAAAAAAGGATTAATGCTGCTGAGATGTGGTTTTTGAGAAAAATTATGAAAATTAGTTGCACCTCTCATACTCTGAATGAAGATGTATTAAGACAGTCCGGTTATGAAAAAAGGAAATTACTACAGATAATCCGACGGATGTAGTTAAAGTCACATTATGCGGAAGTAAAGAATGGAAACTCTAACAGCTACTGGGAAGATTGCAAGGAAAAGAGATCGCGGACAACAACGAATAACAATTAACGTTCGTGAAGTCCTTGTGTTTTTTGCTGAATATCACCACATATTTCAGCTACTACAAAGTGTTAAAGATCGGGTTTTGTGGAAGTCGATGGTCGCCAATATCCTGAAAGGATACGGCACGAGAAAGATATAGAAATAGTTGACATGAGAAATTTTCTTTGATGTGTTTTGATCGAATCATCATTATCACTGGCATCTCAAAGTATTAGAAAAAATAGTTTTATTGAAGTATTTGTGTTAGAAACATCAAAGAAATGGGCGTTTGTGTGTGCCTGTTTATTTTACATTCTCGAGTGCGGGACATAGGGGCAAAATTGGATACTGTTCGCCCAAATCGGTACTGTTGGCGATTATGCCAAACTAATGAAGTGATTAACAGAATTAACAATAATACATTAAGATAATGTATCAAATCAAACAAACAAAAAATCGTCTTGCCCAATAAATCAATCAAAAATCTATTTTTCATCTTTAACCACTGGTTAGATTGATAAAAAAATGTTAAATCTGAACTTGTTTATACTATTATTTGTAGACAAAACGTTTCTGTGATATTCAGTGAGCTACCCATAGATATACATAACTACTAATAACACGGGAGTCACCGAAACTATGGTTTGGTTACCCATCCAGAAAGACAACACTATTAATATATTAGTCGTAACCATATGTATTCCACATATATGATTGTAATTAATTCGTATGAGCCATAATCTTTCAATAAACCTTCTTATGATAAAGACAAGAAACTAAAAGTTTCATTGACCTCAATAAAAATAATTGTCAAACGACAATTTTGATTTATTAATAACGTTATTTGTAAGAAAAACAATAAAAAATTTATTAAATGCTTGACGAGACAGTAAGCCATACAAAACGTGACCATGGTCCAATTACCGCAGTAAGTTAACCTATTACTATGGATATGTAATATCCATGCCTATTATATCCATGCCTATTACTAAGTAGGCACTTTCGTGCGAAGACAGAAAACACAATTTATTTTTAAATTAACAAATTGTAAAATAATTAATTTTTTTAATAGTATTGTTCCTACCAAAATTCTATATTGCTTGCAAGCCATTTAGACAATATATGATATATAATAAATTGTCAAAAATCTCAGGTTTGCAGACGATATAGACCTTCTAGCTTCTAGTGAAGAAGGTCTACAGAAACTAATTGAACTAACACATGTTGGTGAAAAAGATCATGGGTTGCATATCAACAAAAACAAAACGAAGGTGATGATTACGAGAAATGGCAGAAACAATGTGGAATTTCAGATAGAATAAGAAAAACTCGAACAAGTAGACCGGTTTGTGTATCTTGGCAGTCTTATAACCTGTGACAACAACTGCACCAAAGAAATTGACAGAAGGATAGCAATAGCCCATGGAATGTTCGCCTCATTGAAGGAAATATGGAAAAATGGAAATATATCTATAAAAACAAAGTTGAGAATGATAGAATCTTGCGTTTTTCCGAGCTTGCTCTATGCATGTGAGACATGGACAATAAAGAAAAGAGACAAAGACAGATTGGAAGCATTTCAGATGAAGTATTACCGAAATTTGTTGGGAATCAGTTGGAGGCAGAAAGTAAAAAATGAAACCATCAGAAATCAACTTGGAAGACAGAAAAGTGTATATGATAAAGTCAAAGAAAGAAAATTGGGATTTTTTTGACACATTTGTAGAATGAGAGAAAACAGATTGATTAAGATGGTAAAAATGAGGAAAAGAGATTGGAAGAAAAAAATTGGTAGACCTGCAAAGAAATGGATAGATGACATTACTGTATGGACTGGTGTTGGTATTCTGAATTCAATAAAACTGGCTAAGGTTTTTGGAAAGAAAAAAAGAAAAAATAAAAGTAAAAAGCATGCTTAGATGTACACCATCGGCCTCGGCTGTCCCCCGATGGACAAAGGAGGATCATTGATTGATTGAACTAATAAATTAGGCCGGCCCGATTGATATTGCGAATTAACTTTTAGTTTTTTTTCCATCTTATTTATTATTTTTTAGTTTTATTATTTTTTAGTTTTTTTTCCGACTTATTATTTTACAAAAATCTGTCCCTAAATCTGCATTATAAAAAATGTACTAATTTTGAGTTGTTAATCATTTGTGTGTTTTTAATTTACTCATCGATTTCAATTGTTTTATTATGTGTGAATGGGAAGTTTAATTAAATTTTAACTTTTATTTATGTTAATTAAGGGTTAATTTTAAATTAAAATTAATAAGGAATAATTGGCAAACGTATGCCTACCAATCTTAAAATAGTGGTCAAAGTATATTTTTGCCCGCCAACGTTAAATATACATAACGGTAGACTTTCGTGCCTATTGCACATAATGCATTGAAGTATTAGAATTAGATAGAGTATACTTTCCTGCCTACCATGCATAACCATCATTACTTTTTATTTAATTTAATTTGATAAATCCTAACCAAAACCCTGACCCATTTTACGTTTTATTAATCTGTATAACTTTTAAAGTGCATATTTTCATTATTAATTTAAGTTTATTTTTTTCAAGTTTATCTCATAAAATTAATTGCATGCATAGTCAGAAAAGCATACTTTTGAGTTTTGCCAAATAATTAATAGTTATAATTATTATAACTTATAATAATTTTATAAAGTGCTTTTATTTCTTTTAGATAGAGATCTATTCTATTCTGTTAGTTAGATAGTCTATCTACTCAATTGCAATTTTGTTTATTCCATAGATAAATTAGATTAGTAATTAATTAGTTAATTAATTAATTAGGCCAATTATTAATATATTATGTATCTCTGAAGTATAAATATAAAAGTGCTATTAAAAACAAAATCCAATAAATCACATATTGCTATTAAAAACAACAAAATCCATGCTATTAAACCAACAAAATCCAATAAATCACAAAAACTTCCAGACAACATGATTGCCTGTAATAAATTTTAAATTTCATACATAATCATAACATGTAGCATCACAAGGACACAATCAAAATGTTAATGAGCTGAGGTGAGAGTGTGAGTAAATCAAAGAGCTGTAATTATTTTCAAAAGAACTTTTAGTTCTTAAAAATAAATATAAAAAATTTTTAAATTTTTCTAAATCAGACTTCTGAACAATTTTTGTTTTAGATGTTAATTATAAATTAATAAATTGAGTGTTAAAAATCTGTAAAAAAGTTTCTTCATGTTTGTGCCTGTGTAACAAAGCGGGCACTCGTTCTGATGGATAGACTTGATGTAAATCGTAATTAATTACTTTTATTTCTTTAGGAGTTCAATGTTTTTGAACAATGATGGTAAAAGTAATGGTGGTGATGGCAATCGAACACCCAGTGGTAATCCTGCTGATGGAAACATAGACACTTCAAACAGTTTTGCTAGTGCCACAACATTTCTAAACAATTTGCCTCCTGAGAATATATTTGCATCATCATATCAACAAACCGACCATGTCAATAAAATTATGGTTAGTGATGATTGATTAGTGATTAATTGTTGTCACTTATTGTTCCTCTATTTATCTAATGTTTTTTTAAATTATATTCATTTTAAAGCTATTCAATTTCTTGCTGTCCAATAATCAAGCATCCTTTATATTGACATTCATTTTGTTCCTTCCTCTATATTTTAAAAAGCCATTAAAGTGAATAAAAATTAATTGTTTTCAAGTTTGGTACCTCTAATCATGGCCTGCTTAAAAAATATGGTGTCAAAGTTGGATGAAAATTTTCTAACTCAGACTCTTTGATTTAACAATTTCTGACTCGAACTTTGGGTAAAATTTCTGACTCATACTTCCAAACATCAATTAGATAATGTGTATCATGCGGTATGGATGTCACAGCCTTTGTGGCACAAAAGTATAAATATAAGAATGATATGTCAGAACTGCATAATAAGGAACAATAAAAAGATGAATATAAAAATTAAAATTAAATATTTTGTTATTAGATGTTTAGATTTTCAAGATTAAATGCGTTTTTCAATTAGTAAATTCGTGATAGAAAGTTTTACTGTTTTTTGCAGTTTTATTTTTGAAAAATTGTTTTTGTCAATGCTCAATATAACACCTGAACTGTTGTTCTTTTGGGAAGAAAACTGAAAAACTGTTTAAATTTTAACCTACAGTTTTTCGAATTTTAAAATATCAATTAATCACTTATCTTGCATCAAATTTGATGACTCAAACAATCATTTCTGTCATAGGAAAAATAGATTAACTACCGAATGGATAGAATATTGGTTTTGATTTTATTTAGCACCTTTTAAAAACTACAAATGTATTATAATGGTTTGCAAGCAATACTTTCAACAATAAGTATTGGTTTTAGTATCAGCAATATATTTTAAAAACGATATCTGTATTTACAAAATAATTTTAATGTGTTGTTAACATCCCTGATTATCTCTTTCAAATATCTTTTGGCAAAGCACATGTTCCTCGTTTAATTGATTGGTTGATAGTTTTCTCAATATGTTTCGAGTAATTTTGTTTCTAGCTCTGAGAATGTCCATGTAAATGAACTGGTCAATCACCTTGTTCTAATTTTTCAGATTTGACTTGGAATAATGTTTTGTTTTTGTTGATTTGTAATTCATAATTCATATCTCCGTCATCTCTTCTCAACCAGCTTTTGGAAACCATCTGCATTTAAATGCTAGTAGATCAACATGCGGAGATCTTTAATCAATTACACATATCAATGATTTTTGATTTTTTAAATTGCTCATTCCAATATTGTTGTCAACAATTATTGCTGATGTTTGATGACACTTGCTGGAGATTTCTATGTTTGTTAAACAAGACATGAACAATTTCCTACTTTTTTTTATATTATGTGAAAAAATTATGATTAAATGTAATTGCTATTATTTTTATTTCAATTATTATTGTCGTTATCATCATCATCAACCTCCTGATGATGGTGATAAGTATTTTTATTAAAAAAACATTTTGTGTTTTTGTTATTTATGCGGAATCCAAATCAACACCAGTTGTCGGCCGTTCGATGATAGAATATGCCAGACCCGTTTGGTCTCCACTGACGTTCGACTCCTGCTTCAATAGATTGCAACGCACACGAAATGCTGACATACGGGTGACAACTAGGGTTGCACCGGATAGTATTTTTTATATCCGGCCGGAGCCGGATATAGATATAGCCGGATAGTAAAAACTGATATCCGGCCGGAACCGAATATTGACGTATAAATTGAGCGTTTTACTAGGCAACATGAATACATCAAAAACTGCTAAAATTGTTATTGTTTAAACTCTGAAATTTTAAAACTGAAATATTTACGATTTTTACCAAAAATTGTTTTTCAAAAAGTTATTTTATTAAAACTTAATTAAATTTCAAAAATATCAGAATCGGAAATTAGATGTACAAAATAAAAAAGCAAGCAAAAGAAAGCAAATAAAATATTCAAGCAATTATACAGAATGTGGGCGTATCAGTGTTTTCGTTTAAATGTCACGTGTTTGTTGCGTTAATTGGTGGAAACAAAATGTTTGTTCAATCAAATCAAGGGGTCAGAGAAGAGTTTTACATTCACATCATCATTCCTAGTCTTAATTTCGTTCACAAATACACCAATATACGAATGTTGTTGACGCGCGCGCACACTCGTCAATAGAGCATTTAAATTCATATATATTTAACGGGCGGCGCGATAGTGTAATGGCTAAGGTGCCTGGCATTGTTGATGCAGTGTCCGGGTTCGAATGCAAAAAAATATCCCCGCCTATCACATGCAAAAACTGTGTGATGCGTTGATTCACGTGCATTTATGCACCGTGTGTTTGTTGTAATGATAATGCGCCTCAGTCGCTTGCCATGGCGCTATATAAAATGACATTATTATTATTACATGATTACGCTTCAAAGTAGAGTCGTCTTTAGGAGTGAAGTTCTTTATGACCAATTGTGAGGTCTTACAATTATTGTAGAATATTCTTCTGAATTTTGTTTTATTAGTATCATTGATTGGTGTGACATTTCTTTTATGATTTGTTCGAGAACGACTTTGTCTATTTTATGTGCGGTTGACATATGATTTATGTTTTATATATATATATATATATATATATATATATAAATTATAAGAATGAATACATATATATATATACTATACAATTTTCATTCAATTCTATCGCTATAGTATTATTTATTAATTTTAATTTCTCTATCTTTCTAATAATAAATTGTAATTTATGTACCCAATGGTAAACTCTACAAACAAATTGACGGCATAGCAATGGTTTCGCCTCTAGGAGTATTGTTCACCAATTTTTATATGGGTCATCTAGAATATTTAGCATTTTAAAATAATCCAAATTTGAAACCTGATATTTATACTCGACACGTAGATGACATTTTTATTACATATAAGAATTTTGAATTAGTTCAACAATTATTAAACTTCTTCAATATTTCAAAACTAAAATTTACGCATGAACTCTCAACTGAAAAAAGTGGCGAACTGACTCCAACCACGCCTGAGTCTTTAGGCAAATGTTTGAAGCAGAGCAACAACAACTCCAGTTGTCTAAGGAAAATTTTTTGACGTATTATTTTTTATTGTTAAATCTTTTGAAAAACGCCAGCAGTTTTCATTTTTTGCTCTTTGCTTATAAACAATTCTAACTGATTGACTGATGTGATGAAACAAATTTTGAAGATTTCCAGTTCAAGGAGGCAGCTGAAAAGAGTATCATTTCTTGGGACCTCTAGACTCGTTGGCATGCTTATAGGTTCCTTCTTAACCTTCGTTGCTGAATGATTATTAAAAATATAATGAAGAAGTTAATATTGAATTTCAAAAGTTCAACGCAAACAAAAAGAGGGTTTGTTCAAGGCTGTGACGTCTCATAATGCTGAACATGGTAATTGTTTCCTCATTGTCATCAATTTTGGTGTTATCAATTACATTTACATTCTTCAAAGCAGATTAATGACTGCTTTTATATAGCAAATTGTAGTTAGTTACATAGATCAAATAGATACATATACGACTTTTTATTTTAAACAACTCCACTTTACTAAAACCTTGACTTAACTTAAATGACTGATTCAGTTTTTAATTCTTCTCTGACTGTTTGAATACATGGAATTTAAAGTGGAAAGAATACTTAACGATGGCCTGAGTCCAAACTGCATAGATGAACAAAAAAGGACCCCACTACACATTGCTAGTGCATCAGGGAATGAAGCCATAGGTTAATTTTGGTGATTACATTTCATGGTGATGAAATATTTGGATAACGTGATAATGAAAACAGGATGTCGTGATGACAAGATGTCGTGATGATGTTGCTGGTGAAAATATGATGATGCTGGTAGCTTTAATAGAAACAAATTAACTTCAAATTTTTATTGGCGATTTCATTTTAAAGATCGAATTCCAAAAACTTCTCATTCTTTCAAATCTATTTTTAACAACCAATCTCTACATAAACCTTGAAATCTTTTGAATATTTTGCACTAATGAATTTCTATGAATCTTAAACGAAGAGAATTTTCTACAGTGGTCCGACAAATGTTATGAATACATTTCATTTAATTATTCCAACATGATTGATTAATTAGTTAGAATGTTATTGAAGTACGGAGCCAGTGTGAACATGAGAGATGTCATCGGGAACACACCTCTCCATCTTGGTTCTCCATTTATTTTCTTCAACACATTTTTTTAATTAGTTGTTGTTCATGTTTTCATTCGGAACATCGATTTTTGAAACTTTCATAAAATCGTTCAATTGTTTATTCATTCATTTAAACATTCGACTGTTCCTTTGTATGAATCGTTGTTTAATTACAATGTCCACATTTCAACAAATTCGACGAAACAGCCACATGCAGTCGCAACTTGGCCATCATCACAATGCTGCTCCAGAACGGTGAGCTTCGTTAAACAGTGTTGTTTATAATTCTGAGATCATTTCGTTTTTTTTTGAACATTTATGTTGAAGTTTTTTTTTGCATTAAAATCATTTCTGACGACAACAAACAGTTCAGTCCAATTGAATGCATGTATTAACCATTATATTTATTTTTGCATCCTATATGTGTGGAATTGCTATATCACAAGCCCAAATTAATGTATCATTTAGTTCCTTGCGCAATTATCTCAACTTACCACATGGAATCAGGGCTTTGGAGCAAGCACTTTTTCGAGTTGCACCGCTCCAGCATAAAATATTTCGCTCCGCTCCGTGCTCCTAGGCGGGAGTGTGTTTTGAAGCCAGTTAACAAAAAAAAAGTTTTTTATTGTTTTGTACAGTTAAATTGATGAAAGGAAACAGTTGCCATGATAGATTCTAGATATCATAACAATCTATTTGAATTGAATTAAAAAATATTAAATTTCATAAATTAATATTTTTATTATTTTTCAATCTAATTTTTTGGTAATTGGAGCACAGAACACTCAAAATTTTTGGACTCCGCTCACGCTCCGACTAAAATATCGTTGCTCCGATTGAGCCAGCTCCGCTCCAAAGACCTGCAATAGAATACTTGGATTAACGAGCTATTAGTAGTAAACGATTTTTAAAATCTCACCAACTTCTGAATAAGATTGTTCAATTTTGAACATGGCAGACATAAATATATACCAATCTGACCAACAAAGTTTGAGTTGAAATTCTGAAATAACAAAACAAAATATTTAGGTGCTGATACAAAAGTGGTGGACCACAAGGGCATGAGTCCCATGGAGCTTTCTGTTGCCATGTTGAGGATGCTCAGAAAATGCCACATGTACACAGCACAACATTTGAAAGACAAACTGTTAATTGTTAGTGATGCTGTTTATCTCTTTGTCATCAGCTGCTTGTTGTCCCTTCTTTTTCTGTCTGTGCAGTTATTATCATATAAATTACTTGCTGGTGAGTCATCCAACTTGATGATCACACAATAATGACTAATAATCTGAAATTAGTTTAATAGTCTAAAAAAACACCATTGACTCTAACATAAGATCCTATCCTTTAGGTAATCTTTTTCAAGTCTACCGTATCAGTTTAAGCCTAATCCTATCTGTTTATTTAATAGCCTTGTTAAAAAATTTTTAAATCAGTATATATAACGCTCACTTCATTCCCGCAATCAACTGTTTCACTTTAGTCATCTATGTACTCCAGCAACTGAGATGTTGCTGAAATTTATGGTACAAGTCTACCCCATCACCTCTAACCTAGCCATTTATTACAAAAAAGTGCTGAAGTTTTTTCTGACTTATTTTCGTTTTAAACACCAGTCAAAATAGGTTTAAAACTAAATAGGTTTAAAACTGTACAAAAATCTCAGTTATAGTAGATCTTTAAAACACATAAAATAAAAAGCAACATTTTAAACGTTTTTTTATTACGACGAACTGAAAGCTGCTGTTTATTAATTGTGTAGTACGTGCAAGCACTGCATCTTACGCAAAAGGGGTGGGTATACAATGGTCTGATCGGGTCATCGCGCAACGACCTCGACGCGAGACAGTCCTTTTACCATTCCAGCTAATCGCATGATTATAATACAAATATGAAATACAATCTGGTGAGCGTTTTATCATTACGTCATCACGCTGCCTGCCCATTTATGATGAATATGACAAGATAATGTGAATGAATGAATGACGATGAACCAGGTGATGAATTTGATGGAAAAGTACACCAAAGAACACAGCTCACAGCTCATCGACCAGCTAAATAATCTCACGTTGAAGTTGGATTCGAGTGAAACAAAGGAAGAAATTGATGGCATCAACGACCTTCTCACCAAACTTGCTAACTTGGAGCTAGAGAAAAATGGCGAACAATCAAATAAAGAAAGTTAACGACACAGTGAAGTTGTTCGTAGGTGATTGCTTAGCAAAAAACAGGACAGGATCTGATCGACCAATGTTTCCAGTCATTTGTGTGTTTTTGCATTAAATCGGAACAGTATTTTAACTATTTCTGTTTCGTTGTGTTATTTCTGACAGTTTTCATTAATACCAGTACCGTAAACTCTTGCAAGCATTGACATTTGTATACGTAATATGTACGATGTACCAATAGTGATAAATACATTGAAGTATTTTAATTTGTACAATGAAAAAATTTTTGGTTTTCATTTATTATCAATATTGATATTGCGCAAAAAATGTTTTATTGTGAATATACAAAGAATAGTCAAAACGGTTGTCGGATTCCTGCTTCTTTTCTACATTTTCCATCTGAAATGGTGAAGTTAATAAAATATAATTTATCTGTCAACAATGCTGTCGGGTTTGAATTGAAAAATTTTCATCGTCACCATCATTCGTCATTACTATTACATGTTCTACTTTGTTAGCAGCATCATTATCGTTACACCACTCAGCTACAACGACGTCGTCATCATCATCATGACTAACACTTTGAGCACTTTGTCCTTCCCGCCGCTGACGACTCTCTGTCCATCAGGACTCCAATCCAGTGCGTACACCTAAGTGTTCATCATCACACCTCATCAATCTAACACTCGACAGTATTATTATTATCATCACCACCACCCATCATTATCACCGACATCCTACATCACCATATCACCAAACATGGGTAGGAATGTTCTATCACCTGATCGGCATGTCCGGGCAGGTCGTACAGGAGCTTGCCTTTGCTGTCCCACACCTTCAATGTCGAGTCAGCACTGGCACTGCATAGCATCCTGTTGCAAATCATGTTCGTAATTAGTGATGGCAAGATTTTCAAAAACTCGAGTCGATTTTAATTGTACAGCAATTCGATTTCGATATTTTTAAACAACTTTGGCGCGGTAGGTTTTTCCAAGTTAATGTTACCAACGTTTGAAATCAACTCTTTTTTATGCAAAAAACGGTTAGTTAAAGGCGTTTATAAAAAAAAATAGCCCACAATTACTTTTTGATCGGATCCAAAACTTCGTTGCTATAGTGACGTAACATTTTGGTCGTCTGTATATTCTCTATATTAACCAAAAGAAAGTATGGAAATGGAACTGAGCCGCTCTTTTCAGGAATCAATCATTGCTCTCAAAGAATTTGTTTATAAGTGATGGGCCAATAATGCACCACACTTCCCAATAATAACGGAAGTGGTTCGCGAACGTATCTTTCAATTCCTGAGCAGATCTTCTCAATCTGGTTCAATCATAAATGGACGGCGAAATCGACTCAAGTTTGAACATGTGGAACAATTAGTTTTTCCGTCATAACTTAAAATACGTTATTTTGTTTCAAAGCTCATTTTAACTAATCAGCATTTTGATTTAAAAACTGTTTCAATAAAATATTATGTAAGATGCAAATTACTGAGTTGTCTTTTTTTAAAAAATTGTAATGGAATTTTTTTGCCAGAAAAAAATCGAAATCGAATTGATTTTTTAACATCGAAATATCACTAATTATAATGATTCGGGGCCGAAATAATATAAAAGCAATGAGCAGAAGCTATAAAGTTATTATTAATTAAATTAACGAATGATTGTCATTGCTTTGGTTATCTTTTTTTATACAGATATGTGTTATAAAAAAAATGTTATCGAGGGTATTCAGAGTAATAATTAAATTATTATAGAAAGCAGACGACGATACCTGCTATCTGCTGACCAGCACACCTGATACACTTCCTGAATGTGGCCCCTCAATGTTACTATGAACCTGAATTACCATCATCAACATTTTTATTATAATCATGTTAACCGTCAACAGAGAGCGATGACGGAACTCAATTCAACAGAGGCAAGCGTTTATCAACCCAAATTAACAGTGACCTAAAAACATTCATCGCCCTAGAATGCAGGAACCTACAAACATTCCTCACTTCAAAATAAGTGTCCTACGAACAATCACTACCCCAGATTGACAATGACCCACAAACATTCATAACCCCAGAATGACCTTGAAATACTAACGTTCCAGACACACCATTCCAGAGTTTGACTGATTTATCGAAGGATGCACTGGCTAGCAATCTGCCATCTGGTGAGAAAACTGCTTCATTGATGGCCTGTTGGTGGCCAACCATCTTGCACAGAGGTTTCTTGTCTTGTTCAGGTTGCCAAAGAGACATAGTGTGGTCGTCTGAACAGGACACCATCTTCTCGGGACACAATTTCTGTTCACGTTTTGTTAAATTTTTTCTATGAAATTGAAGTTCATGTTAAAATCCATAAATGCGAGTCCTGAAATTGTCATACACCTCACTAAAACAACGCGGCACTAAATCTCAATACACGCACTTAAAATTGTTAATCATCCATCTAGTACTTTTACGTCCCTCGCGTTCCCCATCCACATTTTATAACAGACATATCATATTTGACGTTAGACAGCGCATTTTATGCTGGACGTCATATTTTTTGTTAGTCATCCCTTCCATTTTTCAGTTAAACATTGCAACCACCATTTTGTTGATGCTATGAAACATTTATGGAGTTCCTCTGCCATGCTTTCATATTTTAGTCATTTAAAGTAAAAACCGTTTCAGTTTCATTTTTATGTTTCCATTTACATGCAGTGCAATGTAAAATATCTTCAGAGTAACCTTTCAGCTCGTTTCATTCGCTTAGCTAATTCTGAAATTTCTCTTGTTTTAAAATTTTCATTTAAACTATTTGGCCGTTTAGTTTTATTAAAAAAAATCTAGACATTTTTCTTCTACTCTATATAATTTTTGTTCTACCATCACCTTGAAAAATTCTCCGCGCTCCATCTATACTAAATTTCCACATTGAAATAAAATTCATTTCATCAGCCGTGAAGCGTTCAGCATCGATTTTCCATTTAGAACTTAATACTTTTTTTTATGACCGTAGCTTACTTTAAAGCACAAATCATAAGTTTCGTTTTTTGCAGTTCATCATGCAGAACGATGTGATCCACTTTTTTTAGCACTTGGACGTTGGACTTATATCTCTTTAAAATTATCTTTCATTAATGCATTAACTAAAACTAACGAAATGACAGTTCGTTAAATGGCAAACATAGACCTGATGAATAAAGTTTTAAAAATCATCTCTATATTAAAATGAGAATATTTGAAGACTTGCCACTACAGCTTCATATCTTTTTAGGGCCATTTGTTGTAATGTAGCATCTGTTGGTATTAAAAAATTAAACCTTATTCAAATAAAGACTAAATAAAGGCATTCGTTTAATAATTCAGCCATTCAATTAAGCAAACAGCCAACAAACACGCATCAATCAACAGAAAAGCAATCGCTTCTCCATTTATTGAATATTCCGCATGTAAACATAGATCAATCAAACCAGTTAAATATCAACGAGTTAAATAATCAAGCGTCAACCAATCAAACAACCAATCAGCTACGAATCATCAACCAATCCAACATCAGCCAGCCCAACATCAACAAACCATCTAACTGGGAACTCGAGTCTAATCTATTTCTTTTGTTGGCGTCGGCAGGATCGAATGCTCCTGTTCTCATCACGTAGTCAGTGTTGAGTGCAACATGATTGACCCAATGCCCATGTCCTTCCAGGGTCCTACATAAGGTGCCCTGCATACAAGTAATGCACAGCTGATGTAAGCCGGGTGCACTCGTGTCGGGTGGGCGTGCATATGGTTGTTGCGCGCATATTTAATTTATATATATTGTTATTTATTATTTGTTTTTATTATTGTTATTGATATTAGTTTATTAATATATTGTTGTTGAGCGCATTTATAATTAATTGATAGATTTAATGATTATTCTAATTGATTCATTTATTACATCTTATAACGAACCTTATCAGGTTGCCAGACTTTGATAGTCCTATCCTGTGAGGACGAGTAGATCAAATTTGCACCACTCCACCTAAGCAAGCAATCGACGAGCAAGATAGAAATAAACAAGATATAACATAAAATTATAAAGAACGAGATAAGCTTCCTAAAGAATACTTGCATTCTCCACAAATTATATAATTAGCTAACAATTTAGTTTCTTTCAGTTATTTACGTAATAAGGTTGAGAGTCAGCTTGTGTAAATTTGTGTAAGAAGAAATATGAAGTTTGTATGAAAGCCTATTAAGTCAGTAAGTAGGATGACCTTATACAGGTGACAGATTGTAGGTGGCTAGATAAAATCATCAAACAAGTTCCCAGCACTGTATCCCATATCCGAATTGTGGCATCCTAATTTTAATTAATCAATCAATTGATGTATCAATCAATCTATCAAACAATTGATGTATCAAAAATCAATCTAAAAAAGCAATCGCATATAAGCAAATACCAATCAATAAGACAGACTGTTGAGAAATATCGGGTCATTTGAAGAAATTAAAATTGATGAAAACCAAATCCAATATAGAAATTATCATGCCATGAAATCTTACCCAGTAACTTTAGCAATCCACCCAAACTAAACAGTCATATGAAAAACCTTTAATTTGTTTACGCGAATAATCAGTAACAAATAAAAAACAACAACACAACACATGTTTAGATGACATTTTCCCTGAGAAATATGATGTTTGGATTAGGCAGGTCTAATCCTTGATGAACCAGTAACAAATTAAAAAGTAATAAGTAAATTATACGTAGCAAGCCGGTAGGTAAGCAGCAAGTAATAATAGATACAATAGAATAACAATCACAAAGACATGAGCAAGTGAATAATACAGATGAGGTACTTTGGATGAGCTGGCGAGAATCCTTGACGAACCATCTCTGAAAAAAAATAACATCAGCATTAAAAATTCCCAAGATGGCCCAATACCATCCGTGAACAACAATTGCAAAACTATGACTAAAACTGGACAATAACAACAGTGAGTACAGCAACAACAACAACAACAAACAGATGCAGTGGTTTCCACACAATCGACATGATCCATTTTGAGTGTCCTGACAATGGTCGACCAATCTGTTTGCCTGTTGTTGGATCCCATATCATCACCTGAGGTGCGCGTGGAAAGATATTTATATGGAAAGGTTCTCATCATATTTTCCTCATTACAATCATCACCAACTCTGTAACAATGTCGCACCTAACATCAACAACAAACACCACCACTCACCAAACCATTCTTGCAGCCTGAAGCCAGCTTCCTACCACAAGGTGACCAGGCGACAAACAGGACCCAATGTTTGTGACCTGCAAGATAAAGTGGTAAAAAAAAGTTTTTTATTTTTTGTGGACTTGAAAATTTGACGTTGGATTTTTTAAAATATATTAAATGCATAATGAAATAATATTGCCAATACAATGATAATAACTGTGAACTCCCAACCTTTGCACATAAACTGCGGCGTATCTGTGTTGACATCCCAGAACCTGACAGTCGTATCGCCTGAACTACTTGCTAGATATCTAGAAAAGTACAAAATAATATAGAAATTATGTTCACAAACAATCTGCTGCTGCTGTTGAAGGGACACTGAGACATCAATGAATGAAATCAATCAAGTTGCACGCATTCATTGCAACCCCCCACAAACTCCTTCATACTTAAACAAAATGAGTTAGGATAATTAATGACAGTGTAGTAAACTGCTCAGTCCACACATCATTTCATTGAACTCAGGACAATGTTTAATCATCAGTAGTTTGTGGGTGGGTGCTGTGAAAATAACATTTGAAGAAAAGTCCATAATTATTAATTATCATCATTCATCTTCAATTTAATGGGATCAAAAACTGCATTGGCATCATCATACAAGAGCCTGTCACATAAAAACAACTGCATCTCAGTGTGTCTATCTATTATTATTAATACTTCCATCTTAATTTGTAAAGCAATATACAAGTCAGATGTAGAACACGATCAGCTCCAAGTTTTTAATGATAGTGGAACAGCTGATATATTTGAAAATCTACAGATATTGAGGACAAATTTTGCAAATTTAATAGTTTTTAGGCGTGTTTTTGAGAGTGCAATGGCAAAAAATATTAAAAACAAAGTTGAAGAGGGCCTAAGGTCCACGATGACTTTAAACGACCCTGGAATTGAACACATTTCATTAGAAATATATTTTGAATTAATTAACTTTAAGGCATTAACACAATTCAAAATTAGGAAGGCAAGATGTTTCCTAAAAAGTTGAGAAGGTGAAAGAATTAAAACATGCAAGAATTTAATGAAGAGGTGCATTTTGAAAATTGTTTTAAACATTAAATACCGCCTGACACCTGTTGCCTTCGTTGCAACTTTTTACAAGTGAAATGTGCATGTGTGCATGTGTTTGGTCGATTTCTGTTGCCGACATTAAGCTCCATGATTGATATAAGGAACGTATTTAATAACTGATCATGAAAATGGATGCTGAACTTCCGGCAGTATGATAAATAACTGAGCAGTTGTTTAATAACATAAACATGCATTAGAAGTTGGCAAACATGTTGGAAAGCATAACTTCAACAGATTCCAATCACCACCAACCGACCTGCCGTCGGGACTGCATTGAACATCGAGAATGGCACCAGCATGACCAGGGATGCTACTGGAACATCTCGTCACGGCCAGAACTTTGAAGTTTGCTTGAGGCTGGTAGATGATGTCAAGCACCGACTCACAGTCGATCGTTCTATCATCTTTTATTGTTTCATAGAGACTTGTTGATATTTCTACATTTTTTAGAAAAAATGAATACAGCTGTCTGTCATCCTAAATTTGGCACATAATTTAATTGAATAAAATACAAACGCCACTGAAAAAAAAAGTTATTTAAGAAGTTATTTATTTCAACTATTATTTAAAAATAGTAAACACATTATTTAAAAAATCATCTATTTATTTATTTATTATTTATGAATACAAAATAATAAATGAATCAAAATTATTATCAGATGTTAATGAAATTTCTATAACAATATATATGTAATTAACAAATAATATGCAAGTTATAATTACCTCATTTTTTAATTTTTTACAGATATTTTGTAATTTCTCTACACTTGTGTTCAGTGGTAAGTTGAATGTGCTGCCAAGTGTCTCACCCGCCTCATCTTTCAACTGTATTAACACATCCTTAGTTTCGTCAATGATGTTTACTTTACTAGATATCTCTTCTTTAAATTTAATTTTTCTTTTGGGAGCTGTGTCTGACTTAGCCATTTTGTTTATAAAATAATATTTTCAATTTTCCTAAAAAAAGACCAGCGTCAGTTAAAAAATATAATAAAAAACCTAGATAAGCAAGATCGTTTAACAAAACTTTTCTATCTTTTAATTTAATTTTTTAACAATTTTATTTAATGTTATATATATAACTATCTTATTTTTCAAGAACTTTAATTTTTGTCACTTTCAATTTCTTCAATTTTTTTCAACTGAATGTTTGAAATATTTTTATTGAACATATAGTTTTTTCGATTAACAAATGCTGATAACAACAGCCACAAAATAAGTTTCATGTAGTCTTACGCAGGCAACAAATCACTCATAACGACACGAAAATGAAAAAAAACACGCCACGAACGGCGATAATAAAGACACGAAAACAAATGGTAAGCATAAACAATATAAAAATATTAATCAAAAAATTATCCACCATAGACTTTAAAAAATGGCGAAGAAAAAAAGTTTAGTTAGAAACATCTGGGAAGTTTGGAATAATGAAGACTGATGCACTTTAGACCACCTAATGATATAAACGAGTACCATCAATTTCACCGGGTTACTTCTTAAACAGAAACAAAAATATTATAAAATCATGTGTATGAATATATAAAAGAAAAACAATTAAAAGTAGATGATTGAATAAAAAGTATTTAAAGAAATTACGTAAAATTAACAAGAATGCGATAACGATGATGACTTGATTGGTGAACATTAGAGGAGAAAGAGCGAGTTAATGAAGAATAAATACATGAGATGCAGTTACATCGTTCAATAAGTCGGCTTTTAATCATAAAATAATAATTGCAGTAATATTTATAATTAAAATTGTTATTATTATTATTTATTATAACTTGTTAAGGTATTTAACTCAAAAAACTAGATGTAAGTTAGCGCAGAAACACAACAAAACAGAACGTCACATAAACGTCACAACTTAACATAGCACAACGTAAATAGCGGACTAATTTTCATGATAACAAACTGCACAACAATTAAAAAATTAATAATCATTAAAGCAGAACTGTACATGATTAATTATAAAATGACGATGATAACAGTGAGGATTCTGATGAGGAAGATGACGAGGAAGATGATGCTGATGATGTTAAGCGAAAAGTAAGTACTAAAAGTAAGATCTTGGCGATGAAGCGAGAATAAATTTAAAATATATCATAGGACTGCAGTAGAGAAGTCACCTCTAGGTTCAAAATGTCTGTGAGACAAGAATGAATTTCAAGTGTATGTTACAACAAAATTGTCAAATAAGCAAATAAATAGGGTATGTACGTATAGATTAGTATAAGTCTGTTTAGATAAACACTCACACATACACGTAAATAAATAAATTAAGTAATGTTTATGTGCGTGTGTGCGCGCGTGTTTGCGTTTGAGGGAGACGCTAATGATGATGATAAATATATAAATATGTAAAATAAATAACAATAATAGGTATGATATTACTCAAAACAATAACAATAATGACGATAATAATAATAACAATAATAATAGCAATGGTAACCTTGAATACGCACGCAGATGTGATTTCATTGGGGTGGTATTATTATAGATAATCAAATAACAATTAATGGTTGAATATTTATAAGATTATCATGCAGTTTAACTCCATAATTAAATACCTTGAAAGGTCAAAGGTCTATTGCACTCTTCTTTTGGAAGAGTGCAATAAGAGACCAATTATAATTAATAATTAATTAAGTAATTAATGTAATTAACCTCATCGGTTATTTGTCCTATGCGAAATTGCAATTCAAGTAAATTTCAAATAGGATTTCAAAATATGAATCATAGTTTTATCATAACATAACATTAATAATTGTCACCATATATAACAGTTTATATTTCACTATTGCACTCAATAAAACATTTACTAACTATGTGAATTATACATATATTATATATATATGTATATATACACCGTATATAGAATATATAACATAAAACAATATTTGAGAAAAAGTTAATTTTTACAAAGAGAAACTTTTACTGAGAAATACATGCTTAACAAGTGCCGGTTGAGGTATTTTTGGTTTTGAAGTTTCAAGTTTTTGAAGTAAACGAAGGCAGTGCATACTGATTGATCTGATCTGCGGCAAGGCTCCAAGGATGCGGGATAGGACGGGTGACTCCCTATCTGTGTCCTCGTACGTGTTCTGGATGTGCTCGTAAAGGGTCTCGCACACCTTCCATTGCAGTTTATCGACCAGCTGAGAGTCCTTCAAACCAACTCTATCTATAATTCGGAATCATGTTAAGTTGATCAATACCGGCTATGATTTGATAAGCATTAAAATTCAAGATAAATTTATTAAAAAGGGATAAGGACATGAAAGATAATCTGGTCCGTATATAACGCAAGAAGCAACTGCGAACTTGTCTGTCAAAACATTTGACTCTCGCTCATTTGTTTCGGCATTATATATTTCAGCATGGTCTCTTATTTATCATTTAAGTTTTTAGAGTTAGGAAATAATATTTCAAATTAAAATTTCAAATTACAGTTTTATGCTATTTTAAAAATTAATAAATAGCAAAATTATTAAAATTATTAATTTACTGATAAATGTAAAAACTGTTCTCAAGCGATCGAAAAATAAAAATTAAAAGAAAATTAAAAAATTTTACCTGTGATCAAAATAAGGGCCTCCATGCAGGCAGTGCTTGTGGCATCGAGTGAAAGTTTATTCAGATTCGATGAATATTGAACAATCAAATCCACCCACTCACTGAACTCTTTTGAAAATTTATCTTTCGGTAACAACAGACGTGAGGTTAGTGGGATGAATGACTGTGCGCCTGATAAACTGTGTTAATAAAAAAAAACAGTATAAAATTGTTATTATTACGTTTAATATGTTGTTAATTTGTTTTGTTGCAATTTTTTTTTTTCAAAAATTAATGTCATAATCTAACTTCTTTGCAACCGTGTAGGACAGTAATTCTAGAAATGCAGCATCAAATAAAAGTTTTTTGTCGTCATTCGATACATCAGCAAGTTCAAGAATTTTTTCAGACCATGCTTTCAACGCCTCGTACTGCTGAACAAACCCAGCATAAAAATGTCGAATTATCTCATTTTGGCTACATTCTGTTAAATCCGACGACTCTCTGAATGCCTTTACAAATAAAAACAAACGAAAACGATCATCTTTTATACCTAATTTGAAGGTTATAAAATAAGTGGTTATATTGCTCTGTTCAGAATTAAATAAATAAATATTAAATATGAATATTTACTGTATGTGATTCAGCAGTCCTTCCGTTGTGCGCCTTAACAAGTTCGCTTGCCAGATTAATTTGAGGCAGCTCAAAATGGCCCATCTGAGATAGTCGACCTTTTGAAGGCAGTCTTCCTCTCCTTCCTTTTAGCGAATTCATCCTTACCACTAAAAATTTAAATTTAAAATATTAGTAATTTTTAGAACATAAACAACGAAAAATATTTTTTTCTTAATTACCGATTGAAAAATAATCAATACCTTCTCTTTGCATTCCAACAGCCAAGCATTTTTGGAATCTGCAAAACTGACATCTGTTTCGCCTTCTTTTATCAACAGGACAACATTTCTCTGCTAGACACGAGTATTTAGCTCCTTTTTGTACGGTACGCTGTTTAGACACAATGAACAATAACTCAGTGTTTTATTTATTTCCTAAACTTAAGGTAAATATTTTATTGAAAATAACTTTATGCATGCATGTACAAGATGAGAATGCAAACCTTGAAGAATCCTTTGCATCCCTCACAAGTCCTCACGCCGTAGTGCAAACATATGGCACTATCACCACACACGGAACAAAACTGAGCGTCCTTCGACGTGGTGGACTTTGAAGGAGCTTCAGAAAGAGTTTCAGAAGTTTTACATTTTGGACTAGTTAGAGATGTTGTCGAAGAACTATCGGATGACCCCTCCAAGCTGAACGAGCAACTTTCCGATGCAGAACTATGTAAGTAAATGAATTTCCTATCATATTAATTTTATGCGATTATTATTTTATAAAAGTATATAATTGTATAGTATAAAACAAAGACTAAACATTAATTACCTGTGTTTAATTTCCAATTTTTGACGTGTTCCAGAAAATTCTGTTGGCGAAACAAACGCTTCATCCAGACTACTTTGTCTCATCTTTAAAATCTTTCCCGGAGGTTCCTTACTGACTGAAGGTTTGTAGCGTTGAAGGTCGGACAGAGATCCATGACTTCTGGGTTTATCGGACTTTGCCTCTTCAACTTCGTTGACGATTTTATCATCAAACATGACTGCACTGGTTGAAGCAAAAGTCGAGGTGGTGCTTGCTGATGTTGGTGATTTGCAGATGCTGGGATTTGATATTTGAGACTGACAAAATGAAAAATAATCCCACAACTCTTCTAAGTCTGCCTTTGGTTTGGTTTCATATGGACTCGTTTGAAACTGGGACGTTGAAGAGGAGGACTGTTGTAATCTAGTTGTTATTCGTTTCTGCAACTGTTGTTTAATTATTTGTTGTTGCGATAGTTGCTGCGGTTGCTGTATGGATTGTTGTTGTTGAATATTTTGCTGTAGCTGTTGCATTTGTGATTGATGTTGATATGAAGATTGGCTTTGATTTTTATCTGTTTCCGACTTGGCGACAGTCGAGTGCAACGCTAACTTTTCAATACCCTTAAGAGTCGGTATGGATTCGGCAGATGAATACGAAGAACTGCATCGAACTCTCTCCCAAACTTTAGGATCATCTTCTTCCATCAAAATAAGCGATTGTTTAGAAGAACTCGTTTGGGATTGTACATGCTGGTAACCACTGGAATATTCAGGGGAATAAGGTGGTGGCTCATTTGAGAGGGGTCGTTTGCGAAGAGAACAAAAAACTTGGGATGATGATGGAGACGGAGATGATGATGAGCTTTTCAAGGATGGGCTTGGGGCTGTTGTGGTTTGATAGGAGAGGGATCTGGTGTACTGAGGTTGACAATAATATTGTTGTTGTTGATGTTGTTGATACTGTTTTTGTTGTTGTTGCTGCTGAGCCTGGTGCTGTTGGTGATGAATATAAAGCTGTTGTTGTTGCTGCAGTTGACGTTGATAATGGTGTTGTTGCTGCTGCTGAGAGTGCAACATAGGATATGATTCATTTTTTTGTAACTGTTGATGATATGGTTCTTCTGTCTGTTTCGGTTTTTCTTGTCCTCGTAAAAATACTGGTTGTTGATGCTGTTGATGTTGTTGTTGGTGGTGGTGATGATGAAGAGGGGGTAATCCGCTGTAAAATGTTGGTGTTGATTGTTGGATCTCTGATGTTGCTTGGATGTCAGTTTGTTGAAAAGGTCTTTGTTGTTGGTGGTGGTGTTGTTGTTGTTGCGTTTGCTGCTGTTGATGTGGTTGCTGTTGGTAAGATTGTTGTTGCTGTTGTTGTGGTAACTGATGCTGATTATCATCTACTAAGAGACCACAACTCAAAGTTTCCAGCAATGTTGGATTTTCGAGGATTTCGTTCAAAATCTCTAGCTCCACGTCATCTTCTCCCGGAAGAAAGTCGCTGTCTTGGAAGATGTAATTTTCCATGGAAACAAGAGAATTCCAGTCAATAATTGATAAGTCGGCCAGCAACGAAGCTGCAGTCGTTTCTGATCTTCGGTTGGAACTTTTGTTGCTGTTGTTGTTGCTGCTGTTGTTGGCCTGAAGTGAGAACATTAATGCATTGATCACTGATCATAACACAATTCTAGCTATACATCGAATATAAACATCTAAAATAACATATTTCAATCGGAGCTTTAAATAAAATTTTGAGAAACAACTTGATGCACACGCACCACAATGCTTCAGAACAAATCTAATGAATCGCAACAAGATGGTGACAATTTTTAGTTAATTTTTCACAAATATTTATTTGTTTAACTGTTACTTGTACCAGCTGAATAATTAAAAACAAAATATTTAACCATTTAGCTGTTGAATTTTATTCAATAAAATAAAAAATATAAATAAAATGAATGAATGAATGAATGAATAAATGAATGAATGAATGAATGAATGAATGAATGAATGAATGAATGAATGAATGAATGAATGAATGAGCGAGTGAGCGAGTGAGTGAGTGAGTGAATGAATGAATGAATGAATGAATGAATGAATGAATGAATGAATGAATGAATGAAATATTGAAATGAATTATTGAAATGAATTAATGAATCAATGAATGAACACCTGAAAGCAAAAAAAAATCATTAACCTCAATGTTGAACATGAGCATTGCAACGAGTTAATTGACTCAACTTCAGAGTTGCTATTGAAACTGTGCGTGTAATATAGGATCTGCGAACAAATGGAAATTATTTAATTTATCCATTACGATCTGTCAGTTAACTCAGATATCTGGAATACTTTAATGATGTTGTTGCTTACAACAATTACATTTAAAATGTTGAGATTAAGATTATGATGATGGCGATCTTTCCGAATGGAGTTTAACGTTTGTTTAAGCAAGTTCTACAATCAACCAAATTGATTTCTTCTTACCTACAAATGAATACAGATTCAACAGATTCAACGTTTTCAAACAGGAAAAAGTTTTTCAGGTTCATTTAGAAATGAACAACTCTGCTGATCTACACTGGGTATAGCAACAAATACATAAATTCAAGTTTAGATTTGCAATAAATCTAGTTGAAAAACTTAACAAATTAAGCCAATATATGCCAGAAATTGATTTAATTTGTTAAAAAACAAAATGAAATGAAACGAAATGAAATGAAATGAAGATGTTGTCTGCATGTGCAAGAGGATCCACGGAGTTCCCTTCGCAAATAGAAGAACCCGAGTATAAATAGAACAATCTATTATGTGCTCGCTGGTTGGCTGGTCGCCTCCTTGCTGTGCCTATAAATAAGCCCAGCACAAACGTGTATGGCCATATCTTCACGACGACATACATTGCCTTTATGCCCATGTTGTATGAGGTGGCCATACATACATACATATATACATACATACATACATACATACATACATACATACATACATACATACATACATACATACATACATACATACATACATACATACATACATACATACATACATACATACATACATACATACATGCATGCATGCATGCATGCATACATACATAAATACATACATATATACACACATACACACACACATACATACATACGTACGTACGTAGGTAAGTTGCATGTGTGCCCAGATCTATGTAAAATTACATACATTAACCCGTACGCATCGTAAGTGTATGCAGAGGTGTGTCAATGATGTTTGCCTGTATTGCATTGCATCCTATAGAGATGTGTACACATCATCAAAGCATGCTCGCCGAATTTGGATGCAGGTAATAAATGCAACTTGTGTCCATGTGTTCAGCTAAAAAATATATGTTTATGTTGTGTGCGTGCAAGAGCCTGCGCGTCTGTGCCTGCGAGTGTGCGTGCGAATGTGCGTGTGAATGTGCGTGCGAATGTGCGTGTGTGTGGGAGGTGTGGCGTGTCAATTTCGCTTGAAAATTTAAACGAACAACTGATGCGTGGCAACAAATACTGATGATGATGCTTGTGTAAGCTGGAGATATTCGCGCCATACAGAAGAAGAAGCTTGAATGGGATGAAAGATGTTGCGACTGTCAACTATCACAACATGTCATAATGAAGGTGATTGTCCATGAACGTGTAACACATAAAAAATGATTGTGCGGACGCACACACACACACACACACACACAGTAACATCAACATTACGCGAGTTGGTTTACAGATTCATTTTGCTATTCGTTGTGCTATTTCCCGAACGCAAAAATATAAACAAATTTGTCACAGAAATAGTCAACACACATTTGAACTGTAATGTAACTAGGCAAACCAAACATTTACACGCAAGAATGTTATTACAAAATTGAATTTATATATATTGAATTTATATATATATATATATATATATATGTGTGTGTGTGTGTGTGTGTGTGTGTTGTGTGTATGTGTGTGTGTGTGTGTGTATTCAAATGATATATATATTAGGGATGCACCGGATTCAGGTTTTTCAAATCCGGCCGGGGCCGGACTTGGCCGGATTTAAAATTCAAAAACCGGCCGGGGCCAGAGCCGGGGCCGGATTTTAGTTACCATTTTACATACGTTAGAAAAAATACTCACATTTACGGTTATCTACATGTTGAACATCAAAAAATAACACCAAGCAAATAGTTATTTAATTCAAATATATGAATAAGTTGTGTGATACGCCAAATTCTGTACACAAAGATCAGCTTATAATTTATGCATATTTGCATAACCCAAGTTAAAGCACTAAGAAAATTGTCCAGCTCACCGCACAATTAGTGATGTTGTAATTATGCGTCATGTATACCATGTTCTTAAATTATGTGCTTATGTATCTCTCTCTCTCTCTCTCTCTCTCTCTCTAAATATATATATATATATATATATATATATCGTTATATATATATATATATATATATATATATATATATATATATATTTTGTGGCTATATGATCCGTCATGTGCAATTATCAATATATAGTATATACACGTGCACAAGTTCTTTTACACAAAGATCAGCTTATAATTTATGCATAACCCATGTTATAGCATAAAGAAAATTGTCCAGATTACCTCACAATTGGTGATGTTGTTATTATGTATCATGTATGCCTTTAGCTTAGCTTTAGCCATTAACTTATTGACATAAAATTAATTGAATTCAATAAAATTTTTTTTCTAGTTCTAACATTTTTAAAAGTTGATAGACGCTTAAATCCGGCCTTAAATCCGGCCTTAA